AGCACTAAGGCCACGCTGGTGGCCAGCGTCGGCTCCTGGGCCCCCACCCGCGGGGCCAGGACTGTGTGGGGGCACCGAGCGCCCCCCGCACGCCGGGAACGGGCGCCCTCTACCGACCGATGAGAGATCACTGCGACCGCCCCGCGCAATAGCGGCCGGGGCGCGGACACCACTGACCAGGGTACAGATATACATGCGCATGGTACGGACAGTCACTGCGCATGCCACGGACACCACTGACCACTGACCAGGGCACGGACCTACGCTGCACATGGTACGGACACTCAATGACCACTTACCAGGGCATGGACAGTCACTGACCACTTCCCAGGGCACAGATACACATGGCACACAGCGCAGATAGTCACTGACCATGGCACGGACACCCAGTGACCACTGCCCAAGTCACGGACATGCACTGAACATGGCATGGGCATCTACTGCTTGGGACAGTGACATATCCACTGCCTCAGCACAGACACACACTAGCTATAGCACAGACAGTCATTGACCATGGCATGGGCACCACTCACCACTGACCATGACATGGACACCAACTGACCATGGCACAGACCCCTACTCCCCATATATGGATATCCATAGCATGGACACACACTAACCATGGCACAGACATCCAGTGCATGGACACCAAGTGACCATAACACAGACACCCACTGCCCATGGCATGGACACCCAGTGACCAGGGCATGGACACCAACTGACCATAGCATGGGACCACTGCCCAGCAGCACTGCTAACTTCATTATGGATTTATTATTCAGATCAGGAGTGAGATGCTCTTAGTTTCTACAAATATAAAATTTCAAAGCAAAAAAACTGTGTTTTCTCCCATTTTCCATGGACTGCACATCCAGAATTCTAACAACATTTTCAATCACCACTTAGCATCACCATAAGAAACAAGCTGAAAAGGTTTCCACTGTTATCTCAGAGCTCTGTCAACTGTGTGCCAAAAAGGGCTGGGGAGCACTTTCACACCAGCACAATTGTTAATAGTGTTTGTAATGCAACAAGGACTTTAAGCACTGCTCATCCATAGAGTGTGACTGAGGGACACAGATATTGGAATTTTGGACAGTCTCCTCTCAAAGAGTTCACCATGGCAGTGAAACAGCAGAAAAAACAAAAAGAGGAGGAGCAAACAGAAAAATATGAAAACAGTGCTTAAAAGAGCAATTGGAAAACAAACCCACTGTGATTTACTCAGACTCATTGTAATGGGGCAGGACACACACCAACACTCTTGTGTTTTATTTGTACTTTTATATTCTGAAATCCCATTCAGAATAAAAGGAAAAGGTGTGTTGTGTAAGAGCTTGCCCCTAAGTCAGCATTTCTCCAGAGAGGAATCCACTCTCACATACCCAACTTGGATACCCACCCTCAAAGTGCTAAATAGCTTCAGAAGAGGCAGGAACCAAACACATTGGTCCAGATCAGCAGCTGTGTGTTCATGTTCTCAGAGAAGGCACTTGGAGGATCTTCACCAAATTGCTTTAATAGAAAGCCACTGGTAGCAAGAAGGACCCATGAAGTTTCCGTTTATACAATCCATCACATGTGGATTTGCTGATCCATGAGTGGGATTTTTAGATACTACCACAGTATCAAGGCCTAAAGATGAGATTTAACAATCTAGGCCATAAAGTTCATGTTGATTCCAGATGCTAAAGAAGTTACCACTTAAAAGAAAACAGGGCTAGGAATTAAGAGAAAGCAGGACTAGGAATATTCCTCACTGGGTAACGGGATAATCTAAAAGGTTTTAGTTAAGAATATTTTTAAAATTATATTCTGCAGAAGGTACATATGGTACCTTTCAATAATATGAGGGACATCCATCCACTCCACCATTTCCAAACTGAAGAGTGTGTTTTGGTAGAATGAAAACCCCTCCCAGTACTCAGTCTCCTCTTAGAGAAGCTCTGCCTGTGACAAGGGAGAAGCACCAGACACACAGTGAATTCCCCCAGGGCTGTGGCAGTTGACCAGACTGTCATCAGAGACACTTGGATACAATGGGGATCAGCAGCAGGATCACTCCCTAGATGGATTTAGTGTAGTTTCAGGCTTTTTTTTTTTTAATCTACTAAAATATAAATGGCCAGATATACTCAAACTTCACATATGGAGTTCCCAATTCTTTTAAAGAACCAAACTACTGCCTGCAGGAAGTTTGGACAGCAATGGAAAAGCTTCTCAGCTCTGGAAGCTGGGGTGTTTTTTTTCACTCCATCTCCTTCATCCCCTAGAAAGGATAGCAAGCAGTAGCTGCAGCTTAAGAGAGGTGCCATTTTCTCTTCCAAATTACTTTTTAATGCAAGTAAATCACTGGATCATGCGATAGATTGTTTATGGGTGGAATTCACAAATGGAATTCCTGAAGCAGAGGGGACTACCAAAGAGACAAGGAAGGATGGTCTTGTGGTTAAGACAGAAAACTCAGGACATCTGGGGTCTATTCACAGATATCCCACAGATTTCCTGTTGCCTTGGGCAACTTGCTCATTCTCTCTGTGCCTCAGTTTCTGTATCTGCAATACTTAGACAGTGAGCAATTGGAGTGGCAGCTTCCAAACCAAAAGCCATGACAGGACAGAAACCAAGCTTCAACTCCTGCAGTAACAACACAGCAAAATTTCCATGTCTTTACATCCCACAGACTCTGCAGAACTAAGCAGCAGCAGGGCAGCAGAAAGGGGAGTGAAGGGAGCTATCATGTGGCATTAGGGTGGCAGCGGCTTCTCAAGTCTCTGCCTCTCGATGACAGACTGAAATCTTAAACTCAGATTAATCTGTCCTCCAGTCACTGTCTTGCTCCAGTTCCAAAGCCCTGGAGCTGGAGAAAGGAGAGGGGAAAAATATCTCCGAGGAAGGGCCCTAACACCACAGTGTTTTTTTCACTCTCTTCCTCTTCTCCTCCCCCTCTCCATTGGCTTCAAGGCCAACAGCTCCTGGAACACAAACACTCTTGTAAACTTCTGAACCACACAGCCCTATGGTGGGTGGGTGTTTGCTCCCTGCTTGCCAGTTCCAATCCACCCACAGATTCCAAAGGCCCAGAACAAAAAGCAGACTCCATTTTCCATATTTAACAGGCAGTTCTCTTCCCTCTCCATCGCCTTCACTCGGTGCCTCTCCCCAGCACCAGGTCCCACCTTTTTTACGTCCCCCAGGCTGGGGGGACGTTGCCTGTGTTTGTACACACAGGAAGAGAGGTGTGTTCCAAGAGGGTTGCCCCCAGCCCCCTCTGGTTCCTACTGCCTGTCTGCTTGGGGAGAGCTGGGGATTAGCAAGGGCTGTGCTGCATATTGCAGCTATTTGACAAAACGTTTGGGAAGGGCCTATTGTGAAGACTGTGAAGAAGGGTGGGGGGAGTGTGGGTGTGAATGTGACACGTCAAAATTCCTGCTGCAGCTCACATTAGACAGCACAGCCCTTGGAGCAGCCAATTTCCACTTTCTCCATGCTTGTACCATGCATATTCATTGCTAATTGTGACGGAAGTAAAACAATTTCTGCATGGCCAGGATATTTCCTTCCCTCTTTTCATTTAGAGATTAT